AGTGCTCCCTATTGTTCTGTGACATGCTCCCACCCTGGAGGAAGAGAGGAGTAGATGGGTACTGGGAACCTATGTCCTTTCTCTGAAATGCTGGATCTCTGGTTCAGAAAAAAATCCAGCTGGTCCCTGACAACAGAATCCTTGGAGAAGGCAGAGTTAATGTGTTGGGAAACAGAGCAGAGCCCAGACTGACAAATGGATACTCTCTGGGCTGCCTCTGAGCTGCTTCCATTTGGAATCATTTGTGTTTCCTTTTTCCCAGGATTCAAGGCATGGTGGGACTCTTAGTGACCTAGGAAAGCAAGGTGAGGTACTGGGAAATCACATTGCTAAAGCCTCTCCCTGGAAGGGGTTGGTCATGGCAGTTCTTCCCACCCCAGTGCCCTGGGTTTAAGCCTGAGCTATTCAGGCTTGCTGTTTGAAGGAAACCCAGTTGATGGGGGAGGCAGCCCTGAGATAAGAGGGCCTCATGGAGGAGGCTGACTTAAAGGTTTCTTCTCTGGGTTCTTCCCCAAAGTGAGGTCAATGAAAGCTCTGGTCATCACCATCTTCAACTTTATTGTCACGGTGGCAGCTGCCTTCGTCTGCACTTACCTTGGAAGCCAATACATCTTCACAGAAATGGCCTCAGTAAGTAGGCACTGGGCAGGGCAGGGTGCTCCGGGTGGGAGTGCTGGTGGGAGAGAGAAGACATATGTAAAGGTGCCTTAAACAGGTTAGGTGTTAAGCAAGTAGTAAATTTATGTAATAAACAAGAGGAGCATATGAGCTGTCCAGCAGTCATGGGCGTATATAATAACCTCAATAGAATCCAGATCCTATTTTCTTCCTTTCCCCCAACTTATAGGCTGGGTTTTCTCCCCTCCCCGCGCCCCCCCCCCCCCAATATTTACTAGAGGTGCCAGAGGCTGCAGAGCTGGGTGCTGGCGTGCATCCCCTAAGCCTGGTTCTCTCTCTCCCCAGCGGGTACTGGCTGCCTTGATCGTGGCCTCTGTGGTGGGCCTGGCCGAGCTGTATGTCATGGTGCGGGCGATGGAAGGCGAGTTGGGAGAGCTTTAACTGATGGGTCATCATCAAAGTCTGGAGCAGGTTTTGGGAGACTCCAGGCTCCCAGCTGCCAATCACTGACTCTCAGTCAACTTGTCAGGCCCTTTGTCCACAGCTCTGGTTAGTCAGAAGGCCAAGCCAAGGCCACCTGCTCTTCCTGCCAGAGCCCCATCCTCTGTCAATTTTCAGAGGGGCAATAAAGTAGAGTCAGACAACAACTGAAAAGAACTGGTCTTTCAGTTCCTTCTCCTGACCCCAGTGCCCATTTGCCTTCTCTAGTCCATCTGGGCACTGCCAAGGCTGGGTTTTTCTCCTTCAGGAGTAAATAGAATCCAGGTTTTCCCAGAAGTAGACCATACTGCCTTGAACTTCCCCAAGTGCATAAATCGATGGTCACCCTTGCTCCACACATCCTTGATGCAGACCTGTAATTTAGATCAGTAACCTCCAAAAAAGCAGAAAGGATTCCCTTTCTTCAGTTTGTGTAAGAAGAGGAACTGATCACAGGACATCAAATAAGAGAAAGACAGGTTGGTACGGGATGGTGAAATTGGGAGCTAGGCAGCTAACCTTTCCGGCATCTTCGTTTCGGTCTTCATCCTCTGCTCGCCTTTAGATTTTTCTGTATGCTTCTGCCTGTCTCTACCACTCATCAGCCCTCCTTAAACTTCCCGCCTTTCCATCACCCTTTGTTCTGCCTCCAAAAATGAAACCAGTTTAGATGGCAAAACAGTATGTCTGCTTTTAATTGAAAAATCTCTTGTGCTTTGTGTGTGTTGGTAGGTAGAGTATGTCTACTGTGGATTGTCTCAGCTAATAAAGGGAGATGTTCTTTGTGGATAAAGGACTGTTTCCAGATTTAACTGTATATATGAATATGAATAAGCATATACGTGAATACGTACACATAATATATTATGAATACGTATACATGTCATCGTATATAAGCCCGACGGAGGATATTTTATGTAGGTTCTTAAAATATCTGGGTTTGGGGGGGCGCCTGGGTGGCTCAGTCAATTAAGCGTCTGCCTTCGGCTCAGGTTTGATCCCAGGGTCCTGGGATCGAGCCCCACATCGGGTTCCCTGCTCAGCAGGAAGTCTGCTTCTCCCTCTCCCATTCCCCCTGCTTGTGTTCCTCTCTCTCTCTCTCTCTCTCTCTCTCTCTTTCTCTCTCAAATAAATAAGATCTTAAAAAAAAAAATCTGGGTTTGGGTGAGTGCAGAAAATAGTTTATAAATATGCACAGTTGAGTAATTGTTTTACGTGATTACTTTTGGTCTTCATAACAGTCCTGGAGGTTGGAAGAGGAAATAACTTTAGGCCCCTTTTCCCGAAGACAAAACTGAGGCTGAGAGAAATCAGATGAGCAGCTGCGGTCCTTCCTCTGTTAAATGGAGCCAGAGACCGCTAGGTTGTTCTGAAGTCCCCATGTAATGTTAAACTTCAGAGAACTTAGATTAGTGGTATACTGATAGAATCTGTGTAAAGATACTTTAAAACTGTCAGTTTTTTATCCAATAAATATTTATTGTATCTACTGCATTCTTATTTCAAGTCTTGTGACAACACACAAGCTCAGAGATTCCTTAGTTCTGATATTTGTTCAGGGTCTGTTCCTAATGGTATATTCCTTTCCATTTGTTCACACTATGAACTCCTATGGTGTTTTTTTTCCCCAGGGTACTCTTCTGTTCTTAGAAATTACACACTCATGGGGCACCTGGGTGGCTCAGTTGGTTAAGCGTCTGACTCGTGATTTCGGTTCACGTCATGATCTCATGGGTTATGAGATTGAGCCCTGCATTAGCTCTGCGCTCAGTGGGAAGTCTGCTTGAGTCTCCCTCTCTTTCTCCCTCTGCCCCTCCCCCCTACTCACTTTCTCTCTCTCTCTCTCAAATAAATAAATCTTTTTAAAAAGGAGGAAAGAAATTACACACTCATGGGTTCAGTAGACATTTGCTCTACAGTGCTTGCTAGTTTCTACTTGGTACATAGTCAGTCTGAGCTTCCCCAGACAGTACGTGAGAGAGGGAAGGTTCATTCCTTCTGTTCCACCATAGATGACTTTGTTGAGAGATCTTAGAATTTCTGTTGTTGGTTGAAAGAAATGTCAACTGTGAGAAAAAAGTTAAGGTGGCATTTTATAATGTTTCTAGCAAGCCAGACCATTTAAGACTGAGTTTAAAAGCTACACTGAATGTCTGTGGGGATTCGTGGCTGTCGTACTTTACTGAACTCTGCGGGCCAGGTAGCGTGTAGGCCCACATAGCCTTCAGCGTTCACGCCCCCCAGATACCTGGATTGGAAGGTTGGAAGGCTTGTAAATGTTAGATAAAGGGCAGGCCCCCTCAAACAGCTTCTGCCCCAAGGTGTGTTCTCACACTGAGATTGGGGTCATTCCACACACACACCCCTTTCACTAGAATGGGGTCCTTACCTTGATCCCAAGCCCCTCCTCACAAGTCAGCAGGCTTCTGCGGCCTTGAACACTTACTGAGGACTCCTTTATGAGCCAAGTACTGTGCTAGCTGCTGGAGATCAAGAGGTAGAAGACCTAGTTCCTGCCAAGGGGTTCTTCACCGTGCAAAGTGTTTTTCCGTGTGCAGGGGTAGAGTTGGAGATAGCAATAAGGTGGCCTGTCCTCCGGTTCTCGTCACAGAGAAGAACACTCTCTCTGCTTTCAGCCACTTCCTCCATCTCTCACCACCCCATACTTTTCTCCACTGCAGTCTGGGCCCAGGGCTTCCCAGGGCAAAAGGGGAGTGCTTGGCAGGAGGCCAGATGATCAAGAAGTTTGGTGTTCTCCCAGTTTCTCCTAGCCTGCTGTATGGAGAGGGAAGGCACCTCGGGTGAATCGAGAGCTTTTATAACGCATCACACCACATGAAGCCCTTCACTTAACATTATTGCTTCCCATTCCCCGAATGGAGAGAAGACAAGTATTATCACCCCCCATTTTTTGCAGGCCCATAGACTTTCAGAGAGTTGCAGGGTTACATAGCAGAGCCAGGATTTGAATCCAGCCCAGACTGATTGCAAACTCCATGCTTTCCTGGAGCAGAGCGGCTCCAGAAGTGGAAGCAGCCAGAGCGGCCTGGAAGCTGTGGGAGCAGGAGCAGGAACGTGCCGGCAGAGGCTCCCATCTCCCAGCCAGAGCCCTAAGCCCTTCAATTAACTGTCCCTCTAATCCCAGGAGAAGCCTGGGTAATGCCTCCCACCCAGGAGCTGTGTGAAACCTGGCCCTATTTAGGGATTAGGTGATGGAGATACATCTCAAAAGCAAACGGCGCTTGTCCCCATTCACTTGCAGCACACAACAATCCAGATTAAGTGTATAGAGTTTGGGTTTTATTTGGAGATTAGTTGGTATTACAGATGATGGTGATAGGAAAACCCAAGGTTGCCAGTGTGCACGCCCCCACCCCCCGCTGAATCTGTCACGTTGTCTCCACAGCCTCAGGTCAGAGGGCAGCCAATCTGATCTTTGTGAAAATTAAATGAACATAAGCCCTGGGCTCCTCTTTCTGCTTTACTACTTTAATATCACTTCCTCTTCAGATCCATGGTTCCGATTCATTTGTCCAGGTGGTGGTAGGTCAGAAGAGGGGGCCCTGGTTCCCAGCAGTCTGGAATTAGTTTCCGTGCTCTTCTCACCGAACTCACCTAGCAGCTAGCTAATGGCCTGAAAGTGAGGGGCGGCTGCCCGTTCTTTGGAGGGAGGAGGTGTTGTCAGCCGGGGTGAGAAGAATTGGGTGCCAGGCCTGGCTCCAGAGAGGTGGACAACCCAGCCCTTACCCCATCTCTCTGAAGGTACCTCCTGCCATGGTGATGGGCATAGGCTCCAGGAGGGGCGGGGTGCTGTGTAGCAGGAGCCAGGCCCTGGGGACTCTGGGCTGGCCTGGAGGACAGTGGGAAGGAGGGATTCCTCAGCTAACCTTCCTTCTGATAAGAGAACTCCCTTGTGTAACAGGTGGGGTGGGGGATCCACTTCTGATGCGTTCAGCCCTGAGGGGCAGGGTGGGCTGCAGAGCCAGAGGAGCGGTCTCCCAAGTTCTGGTCTTCGATTAGGAGTGGTCCAGGTTGGTGACGATGGCGGAGGCATAGATGAGGTCAGATAAGCTGCCCAATGAGGTTTGGGGAGTGGCTCGCTCTGAAGAAAGGTGGACCCCTGAAGCCCCAGCTGGTCCCCATGGGGCTACAGCTTTAGCCCCTGCCCAGCCCTGCCCTGGACTCAAGCCGGGAGCTGGGCAGGAGGCATGTCGACTCATTGAGGCACACTGAGGTGTGCTGTTGGAGGGCGGAAGCTGGCCTAGTGTTCGGGGCTCCCGGGCCTGCTGGAGGGTGTCTGGAAGAGATCGGGCTCTCTGGGTGTGCTCGGGCCTGGGGCTTAGGCCTCCTGCCTTCCTGTTCTTGATTCTCTTGGCCCGGCGGTTCTGGAACCACACCTGATAAGGGAAAAAGGAATCTCTTCTGGCTCCAGCACCCCCTTCCCCAGCTACAGGGAAAGCAAAACCTGGAGGTGGGAACCCAGAAAAGGACTGTGCGAGAGTACCCCCACCCTGAGAGGGGGTCACTGCTCACCTGTATCTTGGCCTCAGGAAGGCAGGTGACCCGAGCCAGGTGCTCACGGGTGCCGATGTCGGGGTAGGGCCGTGCTGCAAATGCCCGCTCCAACTCCAGCAGCTGCCCCCTGCTGAAGGTGGTCCGCTTTCTCCGGGGGGAACCCAACCCACTGGCATGGCCTGCGGGCCAGAGTAGGAGTCAAGCCAGGACTCCCTGCGAGAGCCTCCATCCCAGCCTCAAAACTCCCAGCCGACTCTCTGCTCCCTCACTTCCACCTTCCCCCATCACACCTTCCCCACATTCTCCCCCTGCCCACCCTTTCCCCACCAGATCACCTGGTGAGGATGCGTCCACGGGGCTGGCCATGGAGCTGGCGGAGAATGAGGAGCCAGAGGGCCATGCCAAGGCTGTGCCCGCACCACACCCCTCCTCCTGGGGTTTTATCCTGCTCAGAGGGTTGGCCCCGCCTCCAGGAGGGGAGAGGTTTCATGTCCAGCTTGAGGGGAGCAGAGCCGTCCCAGAGGAAGGAGGGGAGGCCAGGGGCAGGGTTGGGGCTTGTGTGGGTATGGGTGGAGCAAAACTTCTGTGGCCCCTGCTCCTCTGGGGCTTCATAAAGGAAGCCGGTCCGAGCCCCCCTCCTCACACCGCAGACTCCAGCAGTCTGTGTCTGAAATCCTGTACTTTGTGAAAATCTTCCCAGGACTCCTTCCAGGCAGCTGAAAAAAATCCCTCTCTCTAGTGCTCCCAGTGCTTCACCTGCCCCTTCTGGAGCCCTCAGTGCCCTGGCGCTGGCTACCTTTAGGGGAGAGTGGGTGGAGTCCTGTGCCACAACCGAAGGCTGGGCAGGGTGACAGGGACAGCAGGTGAGGACAGGGATGACAGCTAGCAGGTGAACGGCAGCCACCCCACCCTCAGCAGGGCTGGGGAGCTGATGTCACTACCAGCATGCCCTCAGGTCTGCTTTAGAGACTCGTCTGCATCCAACCCTTTGAAAGCCCAAATGGGCTTCTTGGAGTCCAGGAACCTAGAACCAGAGGAGGTTCCACAGGTACAATCAAGGCATCCTGAGAAAGATGTTTGTATTTACAGAGTAGTCATCCTTGTAAGTCTTTGGAGCCACTTTTCTAAGAGAAGTGGGTGCGTTTGAATTTCTTTTGCATTCTTGCCCTTCCCTCTCCTAACCTCAGTACCGCACACCCCAGACCCGAGACAGAGGCCTCAAAGAAAGGCTCATCCTAGGGGTGGGTTTGGGGGAGCACACCACTTCCCTAGGCTAACCACATTGCAGGCGCAGGATGGGCAGGAAAGCTAAGCCAGAAGTCCACCTCCCTCTGCCCTTTCTCTCTCCTCCAAGACCCTAGTCAATTCCTAGAGGCAAAGCAAGCCCAGGGCTAGGAGGGGCACTTGGTAGCTCCTGTCATCATCAATGGGGTTCAAGCTCCTGCTAATGTTGGTAGGTTGGTAGGGGCTGCTTAGCTCAGGAGGAAGGCTAGCACTCATGAGGCCCTCCCCAGCCCAGAGCTTTTTGGGTTCACAGAGAGGGCCTGAACTCAATGTGGACTGGACACAAGGTGGCTCTCCTCCCCCAAGACATTGTGATGGCCCAGCCTCCCTTCCTTTCCCCAAGCAGATCCCTGTCTCCTGCCTGTCCACCCCAGTCAGGACAGTAGTCTTAAACTCAGGGTCAAGGGATCTTTATTGGGCTGGGAGGAAGAGGTTGAGGAAGGAGCAGTGGAGGGCCCAGCTGTGTGGGCTCAGATTCCTACTGGTGGCCAGGGGCTGAGCAGCCCAGCCAGTACTGGGCGATGGAGCGTGGGTAAGGAGGGCTCACAGTGTCCACTCGCCGTGTGCGAAGGTTGACTCGGTAGTACTTGTCTGGAAGAGAGGTCGGGAGAGGGTGTGTGAGACCCAGCCTGGCCCTGCCCAGTCCTGCCCTGAGAAAGAAGACATGGGTCTTTCCTGGAAGGGTAAGTGAACATCCAAAATGCAGCTAAGGATTCCCACCCTGGCTTTCTGGAGTCACCACCCAGGGGCCATGTTCAGCCCACACGGGACCAGGGACAGCAGGGAAGACCCAGCTAGACGAGCTCCAAGGATGGCAGAGGCTCCCACCTCGTGAGAAGAAGTAAACACTTTGGATGGGCTCGCAGGTGGCAGGCACAAGCCAGTCCATGTCGTAGTCATCATAGTTGTAGGTGCCCAGGCCGCTCTCCTCACTGGAGAACCAGGACAGCCAGGTTGAACGGGATTGCCGCTGGGGGTTCTGGCTGCGGCCTCGGCCACGGTGACGGTTACGGCGTGAACGGTAGCGCTTACGGCTACGCCGCTTAGACTTGGGCTTCTTGGCCCAGGATCGGGGAGCTGAGCCTGAGATGTAGATGCGGCCGGCCATGGCCGCATCCACCTGCGTCGGCACACCAGGCCAGTCCTGGCTGATGAACCGGGGCTGTCCAGCACCACCTGTGGCAGGGGATGGGTTAATGAGAACCCTGGAGGCCTGTAGAGTTCATCTGGTGCCCAACAGTGGGCTGTGTGCCTTGCCCAAGGACACTGCAAGCTCATGGCAGAGCACAGTGCTTGGGCCCTCTGACTCCCCGTTCAGTGCTCTTTCTCCTGGCCTTCCTCCACTACAGCCCTCCCCACTTGCCTCAGCCACGGCCACTCCTCCTGCCGTCTATGCCCTTGGCTGTGCTAGGCAAAGTCCACTGTGTGGGGTCCAGGTGGACCTCCCCCCAGAGGTCAACAAAAACAAAGTCTGGCCTGAGCAAACAGCTTTTGATCCATAGCTCTGCAATCACAGCCCCCTCTGGCCTGCTGTGCCCTGCCCGTCCCCAGAGGGTCCCAGGAGGTGAAAGCGAGACTTGCCCTCCCTCCATACCAGAGGGTCTGCTCCAGAAGAGAAGCTCGAAGAGGGTCTCCCAGCTGTCCCTCTGCAGCAGGGCAAAGTGTTCAAACACGGCGGACAGGGAGCTGCCTTCACACTCCTCCTGACTGGGTTGCTGCTGGAACTCGTACTCCCAGTACTGTCTCCCTGAGGGGGGAAGCCGGGGGGGGGGGGGGGGGGGGACGTGTGAGCAAGGCTGGAAAGCCAGCCCCAAGGCTGCTGAAGATAGGAGCTCCTGGCAGGGGGCAAGCCTAGTTTGACCCTGCCCCTAGAGGAGTGTGGAGGCAAACCAAGACCACCCCACTGCCTGCTCTTTCTCGCACCCACTCCCTTAGTACCCTTAAAGAAGTAGACCCGCTCCCGGCCACTGTAGCTATGAGCAGGGAGAGCCAAGGCTGCATCCACGTTGTCCGGAATGCCCTTGAAGCCTTCAGAGATGTTGCGGGGGAAATCTGGGTCCAGGACACCATCCTCGAAGCGCCAGTACTGATTACCCTAAGGGGTAGAGAAGGAGGAGGGAGTGAGGAGGTAGCTGGCTGGGCACAGGCAGAGTCCCCCACCCAAGGCAGCCGTCCCAGTTCTAGGCTTGTCGCCCAGGACCTGGAGCCCTGGGCTTCCCTGTCCTCAAGAGCCCCAGTCAGGGACCACAGGCTGGGATCCAGCCTTCCTGCCCACCCTAGTCCTGGGCACAGCAGCCCTCCACCCCTGCCTAGATACCCTTGACCCTGACCCACAGCCTCCGGGCCTGGTACCTTGAAAAGGTAGGTCTTCCCCTGACAGTTGATGCGAGTGAAGGCAGCATCGATGGGGCCCTCAATGCCCCAGACATCTCGGATAAGCTTGGGGTACCCAGGCCTCACTGCCTCTTCATCCAGCTCATAACAATACTGCCCTAGAGTGCGGGAGGCTGTGTGAGGGAGGGGATGTTCCAGGGGCAGACCCCTACCCCCAAGACATGCCCCTGGAATCACCTCGGAAGGCAAAGAGGGAGCCGTTCTTGAGGTCAGTGAAGGCATCAAAGGGCTTCCCACTGCATAGCTCCTCCTCTGCTGGGGACTCAGGGATGTCTTCGGCATGGGTTTCAGGCCCTGAGGTCTCCTGCCCAGGTCCTGGAGCCTCTTCTTCAGGGATCAGAATAGGTACCGGGGCAGGAGACTCCTCATGCCCCGTCTGCAGGCCAGGGCTCAGCATGGTGCTCCCCTGCTGTGTGAGGACGCTCCCTCTCGACCCCTCGGGGTAGTCAGTGGCCCCATACTCATCTTCTGGCAGAGTGAATACATCCCCACGAGTCACTGTGGGCAGAGTGGGTGGTGGTGAGTGTCCAGCTGCAGAGGGGACCCCGGACCCAGCCAGCCCTTCTGGACGCACCTTGGGGCTTGCACTCGGTCACATAGTCCTCGCAGCAGCTCTGGTAGTAAGAGCAGAGCTCGTCACACTGACACTTCCTGTCGGCGTTGAAGCCCTCTGTGCAGCGGCCCGTGCAGGACTCTGCGGGGAGGAGGTGTTAGTTGGCATGGCCAAGCCCAGACCACCCTTGCCCACCCTCCGTTGGCCCGAACAGCCGCCAATCCCCTCTGCACCTTGGTCAGCCAGAACAACGCAGGCCAGCAGGACTAGCGGCAGCAGGGGCCTTGGGGAGGCCATGGCAGGCCCCTAGCTTCTAGCCTGGTGAACTGGGCTCTGCACGCTTCGATGCTTGAAGAAGGGAGGGCGAGGTGGGGACTGGGAGGGCGGGAGCCAGAGAAAAAGAGCTGTGCCTTTTCTGCTGTTTGCTCAATCTCTGGCCCAGCCCCCAGTGCCCTGGACCCCAGAGGCTGCTGCAGCAAAGGGTCACATTCCTGGAACTCCGGGCCTGGGAGAACTGTAAATAGGATCCTTGCCAAGCTCCATGTCGTGTCAGAAGGGAACCAGCACAGTGGATCTGGAGGACATAGAGAAGGCCCACTGTGCCACTCACAGGCTGTGACCTTGGGCAAATGGTTTTACCTGCCCTGGCTTTCTTTTTGGTTAAGTGAGATTAATAATGCTTGCCTCCTGTTGTGTTGGGGGTTACACAAACTAAAGCAGACGAAATTCCCAGTGCCTGGAGTAGCGCCAGCTTCATTCTCCATAACCGGTTATTTATCTGTGATCTGTTTGATCTGGCACATCCCTGACTGTCTCACCCACCCACTGTGTATTTAGGGCAGTGAAAAGGCCGGGGGGGGGGCGGTTGGAGGAATGCTGGTAAGCATCCTGGGGGAATTTTTTTTTTTATCATAAAAAAACAGATTTTCGTGTTTAGGTTCAACTCTTGGATGCATTGATTTTCCCAAGCTGGGCTTCACAGCACAGCAAAATTGGGTGAATATTAACCATTTGGACTGGATTTGATTCCTTAGTCTCCCCATATTTCACTGCTCCTTGGTAGGCACTGCTCCGTCTCCACCTTCAGATTCCCTATGGGTAAAGAATAGCCTCATTCGCCACACTTTTAGACTAAGTAGCATCCCTCTTTCCAGAAAATACCCCTGGCACAGAAGGCCTGATTTTGTGCCCGCTGCCCCGGGCCCATTGGGCCTCCTGAAATCCTGGCACCACCTGGAAAAAATGATTGTCGGAGTTTCCAACTGACTTTTTCAGTTCCATAATCAGAGAGGGGTGTGTGATTTTGGGCAGGCTCTTTTCTGTGAGCGTCAGTCAGTTTGGCTGTTAAAGGGGAACACTAATCCCTACTCCTTAGGCCTGTCTCAAGGCTTCATTGAGAAACAGGCATAAAGGGTCTGCTGCCATGATTGCTTGAACCACTGTTAGGGGAGGGGGCACGCTCCACGGTGTTGCCGTCACGTTGCAGTGTCATGGGGTTTGCGGGGGAAACCGAGGCAGTCCTCCCGCTCTGCACCCTCTCCCCCTAGTCGCCACCCCCACCCCACCGCAGGGCGTGGGCGTGGGCGTGGCTGTGGCTGGGGAAAGCCGGGTGGTGAGGCTACTCAGGCGGCCGGGGAAGAGTCCCACGTGACCGAGAGGCGGGGTGTCAGCTCCCCGGCTGCGGCTTCTCAGGGGCGGGGCTGCTGCAGAGCATCT